TGGTGGGCAGGGGGCGTCGAGGTCACAATGTCGGGAGGGCCCCGTGGCACGACAGGTCTAGCGCAGCGCTCGGCAGGCAGCGACGGCCTTGGGCAGCAGCCCCTGCCCGAGGAAGCTGCCGTAGGCCAGGCCCTGGCCGACGATCAAAGGGAGGGTGGAAGTTCGTTTGGCTCGGGGGAGGAGTGGCGGCGTTTCCTTTGGCAAGTTTGCAGGGTGAACGGCCATGCGTCCTGGCCTGCACTGTCTAAGAACCTCTCGGGACCCCCAGAAGCAGGATCCAGTTTTGTTGCAGGTGCGGATCGTTTTTATCTGGGGCTCCCAACGCTGGAGCAAGAGGGCCGTGCAGGCCCACGTCGACTACAGGCGGAATTTCAGACCAGTTGCGAAGGATTCGGCCTGGTAAGTTCCTGTCTTATAAGAAGGACCAGACGATTTTTTCTGGGGGCCCACGAGGGCCTTAGCCTCGCCGAGCGCAGGGTCTTGGCTCAGACGCTCCGAGAGGATGGCCAAACCCCCCAGGGTGTTTCAGGTCCCGCCGCGGGTTGCTTCGCGGGGGCGCGGCATGCCCCGCGAGAACAGGTTTTGGATTCGTTCGGCTTCGTTGAGTCGGATCAACCCTGGGTCCAGGACCTAGGGGGCCGCCTCCCTCCGAGCCTCGCGCAACGACGTCGAGTCAGACTCGGAGGCCTCCGACTTCGGCTGACAGTCGGTGACGTTCTGGCTTCAGGCCCGTCCCCAACAAACCTCCTCCTCCTCCTCCTCCTTCTCTCTCCGCCTCCTCCTCCTCCCTCCTCCTCCTCCTCCTCCCTCCTCCCTCCTCCTCCTCCTCCCTCTTCCTCCTCCTCCTCTCCTCCTCCTCCCTCCTCCTCCTCCTCCTCCTCCTCCTCTCCTCCTCTCCTCCTCCTCCCTCCTCCCCTCCTCCCCTCCTCCTCCTTCCCCCTTCTCCTCCTCATCATCATTATCCCTCCCTCCTCCTCTCCTCCTCCTTCTCATCCTTTCCCTCCTCCCTCCTCCTCTCCTCCTCCTCTCCTCCTCCTCCTCCTCCTCCTCATCCTCCTCCTCTCTCCTCCTCCTCTCTCCTCCTCCTCTCCCTCCTCCTCCTCCTCTCCTCCTCCTCCCCCTCTCCTCCTTTTCCTCCTCTCCTCCTCCTCATCATCATCAGCATCATCATCATCATCAGAATCGCATCAGCATCAGCATCAGCATCAGCATCAATCTCATCATCATCAGCAGCAGCAGCCGCATCAGCATCAGCATCATCATCATCATCATCATCATCATCATCATCATCATCATCATCATCATCATCATCATCATCATCATCATCATCATCATCATCTCATCATCATCATCATCATCATCATCATCATCATCATCATCATCATCATCATCATCATCATCATCATCATCATCATCATCATCATCATCATCATCATCATCATCATCATCATCATCATCATCATCATCATCATCATCATCATCATCCGCCCCTCTCCCTCCTCCTCCTCCTCCTTCTCCTCCTCCTCCTCCTCCTCCTTGCTCCTCCTCGCCGGGCTCTTGACTCGGCGCTGGCCCCGCCCCCCGGGCGCGCGGAGCGCGCAGGAGGGCTGGCGCGTCCCCCCGACGGGGTTGTCGCCTCGGAGGGGCCGTCGGGGGCTCTTCGGGCAGAGTGGCCTATGGGATCCACCTCGGGCGTTTTTTTTGTTTGTTCGCGCGCCTGCCTCTACCGGGAACGGTCTGGGGCCCCGGAGGAGGAGGAGGAGGAGGAGGAGGAGGAGGAGGAGGAGGAGCAGGAGCAGGAGCAGGAGCAGGAGCAGGAGGAGGGAAACCAGGGGCAGGAGGAGGAGGAGGAGGAGGGAAACCAAGGAGGAAAAGTGAACCCAGGAGGAGCAGGCGGAGGAGAAGGGAAACCAGGAGGAGGAGGAGGAGGGAAAGCAGGGGCAGGAGGAGGAGGATGAGGAGGAGGAGGAGGAGAAGGGAAAGCAGGGGCAGGAGGGAGGATGCCTCCGGGATGAAGAGTGGCCCCCGGGGAAGGGATTGCCTCGGAACGATCCACATGGGTTATGCGGAAAGACTGGCACAAAGGCTGGCAGCATGTCCTGTGCCTGTTGAACAGGACTCGCTGCCGGTGTCGATGCGCACGTTGACCATTTGAGACAGAAGGCCGCCTGCCAAACATCGGACGCTGTCGGTTTTGGGCAACGTGTATTGTTGGGCATCGCACCCATGTTTTCCGTACCCATTTCAAGCGTCCAACTCGGACGGGCCCAGGACGAGGATAAGTCCGTTCCAGTGCGTTCTGGAACGCTCCCTGAGCGTTCCAGAGCGCTCCGAGAAGGCCGCGGCGCCCGATAACCGCAGGAGGGCTTTAGCTTTGATCCCGCTTTCTCACTCGGCGGTGAATAGGACTGGTCCTAAAACCTCTTCCTCCTTCTCCCCCCTCTCCCACTCCTCTTTCTCTTCCTCCTCGTAGTCGCAGCTGTCGTCGTCGTCGGGCGCCGCGGAAAAAAAAAAAGTGACCCTCCACGGGCGGGACCCAAGTCGTTCAATGAGGCCGCCGACTCACCCGATCTCATCCTCGGTCAGGCTTTGTCTTCGAGAACTTTGATCAGGTCGCTTGTAACGTTGTCCTCAGGAAGGCGGAAGGCCATACCAGACAGTACTTGAACGAGCGTGCTGACCATCTGGTCGAATGTGGCGCCAATGGATTACGATGTGGCCCTGCTGATGTCCACCGCTGGGCCAGCCGTGCTGGCTAACCCATCTGTTTTCAGAGGGGAGGAAGCCCCTGCTCGTTTTCCTTACGGTCCCGCTTATGATTAAGAAATCTCCCCCCGAAAAGTTGGCCCAGCGTTTCTTAACCAACTTGCCAGAAAGCTGGCTCAGCTTCTGAAGGGGATCGATAGCCTTGGGTCCCAGAAATCAATAAACGTACGCTCCTGGCCCCAAAAGCTGGCCCAGCGTTTCCGTAAGAAACTTCAGAAAAGCTGGCCCAGCTTTCTTAATCGATAATGTTCCTAATCATATGTTTGACTCCACCACCCACCAAACCACCCCAACCCAACCCGAAGGCTCAGATTTACCCTCGATTTCTAGTGGGGGGGGTCCGGGAGCATCGAAAAAACACATGTGGAGCCCATACCCCCCCCAACCCGAAATTCGAGTCCTCGGGTTGGGTTGGGGTGGTCTGGCAGGTAGTCATGACTGTACTCGTCTTTGAGACCTCTGGGCCCGCGGTCTCGACAGCATCCATCCGACGCAGGGCCCGGTCCTGGGCCAGCCGGGGGCGCGGCTGCCTCGGAGAGGCCCCGCGCCGAGCGGCCGCGCGTGTCGGGGGCCGCTCCAGGCCGAGGCGCACCACGCCTCGCGGCGAGGCACCCCCGCGCCGGGGTGCGGCGCTTGCTCTCGAAGCTTTTTCGTTCGTCGGCGGCGAGGCGGCAGCGATCCGCACCCGCGTCGGGGTAGCATCGGGGGCACCGATGTGCGAACTGTCCGGCCTGCCAGGGGCTCTGGTGGTGCAGCCGGCCCGGATGAATAGGTCGACCCTGCCAGATCAAGGGCACCTCTGTGTCCTGTGTCTCGCGACCCGTGCCTCCTGCATTCCTACGGCAGTGTGGCCCCCGGAAGGGTCTTGTGTCCTCTCGCGTGTCCTGTCCAATGAAGTCCGACTGTAGGGTTAAGTCGGGCCTGTCCCTCTACAGGGGGAATATTCAAAAATAGTCAAAGAATAGTCTGGGGACTAGTTTTTGAGTATTTGCTTGGCCATTTTGGAGTATTTCTTGAGTATTTTGAATTTTCATCGGAAATCCCCCTGTATAGGGGGACACGCCCGACTTAAATGTAGGGGCAGGGTTCGCGCGTGGCCCCCTAGGGGGGGGGGGGGGCGGCCGCGCCGGGCGGGGGGAGGGGAGGGGCGCCTTCAGAAGCGGAAGACTGCCGCGGTGGGCGGGCCTGGGCGCCCAGCCGGGGGCCGTGCTTTCAGACAGTGGAGAAGGAGGGAAGAGTGGATGGGATGACAGGGATAGAGGAGTAAGTCAAGCAGCGGCGAAGCGTCCTGGCTCGCCTATAGCCCTACCAAACAATGTTCTAAGAGCCTTTTGTGGTTCCCACGAAATGTTCTTAGAACATGTATGGCGGGGCCTGTCTTGTTTTATCACACCGGGGTTCTGTTCTAAGAACATGGTTTTTGTCATTAGAACATGCTTGCGTTCTAAGAAAATTTCGTGGAAGGACTATAGGAATGCCGGGACGGTCGGACGGGCACGAACGACATGGGTATGGAAAGAATGAGTACAGTGCCCAACAGCAGTTCCTGATCATTTTGAGAAGGACTCGCTGTTCGCGCCGCCGCGGCCTGTGTCCATGTGCGACAGAAGGCCGCCTGCCCAACAGCGGTCGGGCGTCCAAAGTAAGCCTGAAGTCGGGCCTGTCTTTCTACAGGAGGAATATTCAAAAGTAGTTAAAAAATAGTCTGGGGACCATTTTGGATGTATTTTAGGAGAATTCTTGAGCAACATTTGAATTTGTCGTCCAAAATCCGCCTGCAGGGGGACATGCCCGACCTAAGAATAGACTTTGTTATGAGGGTTGGCGGGGCCAGGCGCGCAAGTTGCGCGCGGAAGGCCGCGCGTGAGCAGCCTCGCCCCCCACTGTGGCGTGCCGCGCCGGAGGCCCGCGCAGGCCGCGGCGTGAGGTCGCCACGTCAGCTCGCGCAAGACCCGCTTCTTCTCGCCGCTCAGCTGCATCGGCCTTGGGTCGTTGCTTCGCCGAGGGCCGTTCCGTTTCATCGCGTGGGCCTCCGGAGGTCTGTGCCTGCTCCGTGGGACCAGCTTTCCATCCCGAGTTGTTTTGTTTGTGCACGGCCCTGGGGCGCCCAGCAAAGGCCCGGAATGGAAATTCCAGTCGCGCTCGTTGCACGACTCGAGCGGCCCTGGGTCGTTGGGGCTGCGGAGGCTTTTGGGGAAGCGTCCGCGGAGAGAGGCCTCCGCAGACCTCCACAGGGGGCCGGCGAGGAGGACGGCGGCATGCACTACTTCTCGCCCGTGACGAAGGGCAAGGGCAAGGGCAAGCAGAAGAAGGGCGCGGACGCGAAGCCGAAGGAGGAGGTTATCTCCGCCGCAGACGTCCTCGCGATGGCGGCGCGCGTGGAGAGCGGGGACCAGGACGTCAAGCCGGAGAGCCTCGGGAGGCTGCTGCGCGGGGCCGCGGTGTACATCGGCGCGCTCGAGAAGAACGTGGGCGAGATGGGGCAGGCGTTGCGGCAGATCCGGACGCTGACGGGGCTGGCCCTGGACGGCCTGGGCCTCCCGGGCGGGGGCGCCGCGATGTACAGCCGCGGCGTCCCCGAGGAGGCGGCGGAGGCGGAGGAGGCCGGCGCCGGCAGGTCCTTCATGGTGAGCGGGTGGCGCCAACGCTCCCAGACCCCCTCGCGTGAAGTCGGGCATGTCCCTCTGCAGGAGGGATAGTCAAGCATGGTCAAGAAATAGTCTGGGGACCATTTTTTGAGACCATTTTAGGGGCATTTTTTGGGTGTTATTTTTTGGGGGTATTTGTGATTTGTCGCCCAAAATCCCCCTGTAGGGGGGCAGGCCCGACTTTTACCCCTCGCGTCGCGAGCAGGTCACGGCGGAAGGAGGGAGGAGGAGGAGGAGGAGGAGGAGGAGGAGGAGGAGGAAAGGAGGAGGAGGAGGAGCAGGAGGTGGAGGAGGAGGAGGAGGAGGCGGAGGAGGAGGAGACGAGGAGGAGGAGGAGGAGGGTGGAGGAGGAGGAGGAGGAGGACGCGGAGGAGGAGGCGGAGGAGGAGGAGGCACGAGGAGGAGGAGCAGGAGGAGGAGGAGGAGGGGCCTCGCTGCGTCTGCTGCCTCCCGGGGGGGGGCCCTCGGTTGCTACCACGGTGCGGGGCCTCAGGCCGTCGGAGGTCGGCCACGCGCAGAGGGTGGCCGGGTTTTGGTCGGGCCTGTCCCTCGGCAGGAGGGATAGCCAAAAGTAGTCAAAAATAGTGTGGGGACTATTGTTTGACTATTATTGTGTTTGTTGCTGCATTTTTAGGTATTTGCAACTTTTCGCCTATCGTTTTGCAATTTTGTTTTTCAAATTTACTTTCGCCCACAATAGTGTGGGACAAATTCTTCTTTATGTTTGAACGGTTTCGAGTAAGTCTTGACTCTTTCTTCATTGTTCGTCCAAGAAGATCCGCCCGTAGGAGGGCATGCCTGACCTCATGGTAGGGGGAGGGGAAGGCTTCTCAGGAGCACCCCTGCTTCTCAGAAGCACTTCTGCTTCCTCGGCCACTTTCGTTGGCCGCACCCCCCTCGAGAAGCTTCGAACCGGCCTTCCAAGGCCATTTCATCCTTATCGCGCATCCTCATGATATGGGTCGACTGCAGGGGGAGGGGGGAAGACTTCCTGGAAACACCCTGCTTCTTAGAAGGCGCTGGCCTTGTCTGTAGATGCAAGGCCCGCTGCCTCCGAGAAGCAGCCACCTCCTGAGAAGCCTTCCCCCCCTACTCACCCCCTACCCCCCTCCGCGCGCGGCATCACAAAAAACAACGAATCAGGATGAGAAGCCAGACCCCGGGAAGGGGTGCACACCTCCGGGGGACCACGTCATGAGGAGAAAACCGCGACGCAGGGAAATAGACAATCTCAGGGCAGCGCAGCCGAAGTCAGAGCACTCGCTGTTTGACCAGCGCACGGGCACTCGTTCAGAAGCTACCAGTTTCGTGGCAACGGCTGCGGTGAATGGACAGACAAGGAAGCACATCCACGAGCGGAAGCTGGAGACAAAAAGAGGGGGAGGAGAGGGACGACCCTCATGCGACTCTTAAGTCGGGCATGTCCCTCTACAGGAGGAATGCTCAAAACGAATCCAGAAATAGTCTGGGGACGATTGTTCTAGTATGTTTGGATCCTGTTTGGATATTGTTTGACTATGTTTCATTCGTCTTCCAAGATCCGCCTGTAGGGGGACATGCCCGACCTAACTAATGCTACTCCATGCGGCGATGTGACACCCAGTCGCACCCCTCCCTGCTTGCACTCCTCGCTGGACGGATCTTCCGGAAAAGCCTCCGCCGGAGAGTGCCGGGGCCTGGCCGCACACCTGGGCCCCCAACGTTATGTTGTTGTTGTTGTTGTTGTTGTGGTTATTGTTGTTCTTGTTGTTCTTGTTGTTCTTGTTGTTTTTGTTGTTATTGTTATTGTTATTGGTAGTGTTCTTGCTGTTGTTGCTGCTGCTGCTGCTGTTGTTGTTGTTGTTGGTGTTGTTGTTGTTGTTGCTGTTGTTGTTGTTGTTGTTGTTGTTGTTGTTGTTGTTGTTGTTGTTGTTGTTGTTGTTGTTGTTGTTGTTGTCGTCGTTGTTGTTGTTGTTGTTGTTGTTGTTGTTGTTGTTGTTGTTGTTGTTGTTGTCGTTTTGCTCACGACGTCGACCCCATGGAGGTCTGGGCCCCTTCCCCGGGGCCGGTGTTCCATCCCGAGTCGTGTCTTGACGGTCCCGAGGCCAGGCGAAGGCCCCCGGAGGCCGAAGATAGCAAGAAACCTCCCGTCGTGTTTTTGTGCATTGCCCTCGAGGGAGTTCTGGGTTGCTCGGGTCCTGCGTTTCCCTGACTCGGGCCCCGAGGAGAGGAGGGGGCGACATATCCGGCGAGGCGGCCTTCCGCCTCCGCCTCCTCCTCCTCCTCCTCCTCCTCCAACTCCTGCTCTTGCTCCTCCTCCTCCTCCTCCTCCTCCAACTCCTCCTCCAACTCCTGCTCCTCCTCCAACTCCTGCTCCTCCTCCTCCTCGAGGCTGGAAGCCGCGAAGCCTCTCCTCCCCCAGCTCCCTGCCCTCCTCCTCCTCCTCCCGGCGGCCGAGCGCACGGCGCGAAGAGCTCCCCGCCGTGCGCGCGTGTTCGCCACGGCGCGCGGGGGGGCTCCGGGCACCGCCGCGCCCCGGCCCCGGCCATGGGGAGCGGCGCGCGCGCCTCCCCGCGTGGCCGCGGCGGGAGGGCCCTGCGCTCACGTCGGGCGTGTCCCCCCTCCTCCTCCTCCTCCTCCTCCTCCCTCCTCCTCCTCCTCCCTCCTCCTCCTCCTCCTCCCTCCTCCTCCTCCCTCTCCTCCTCCTCCTCCTCTCCTCCTCCTCCTCCTCCTCCTCCTCCTCCTCCTCCTCCTCCTCCTCCTCCTCCTCCTCCTCCTCCTCATCCTCCTCCTCCTCCTCCTCCTCCTGGCCCGTCCCCCGGGCCCATCGTGCGCAGGGTTATAAGTCGGGCATGTCCCCCCTACAGGGGAATTTTGGGCGACAACATAAAAGACATCCAAAACATATTCTAACATGGCCAAACCAAAAAATCAAAGAAGAGTCCCCCCAGACTATTGTTGGATCATGTTTGGGCCATTTTTTGGGGGGGGCATTTTTGCTTTTCCGTCGAAGATCCCCCTGGAGGGGGACACGCCCGACTTATAACCCTGCGCACGATGGGCCCGGGGGACGGGCCAGGAGGAGGAGGAGGAGGAGGAGGAGGAGGAGGAGGAGGGAGAAGGAGGAGGAGGAGGAGGAGGAGGAGGAGGAGGAGGGGGCGGGCCTGGCCAGGATCGGCCCTGTGCCCCATGGTCGGACATCGGGGGCGGCAAAGCGGGGGGTGTAATGACTACCCCGACCTTCCAGAGTGCTAAAAATGAGCACTCCAGACCTATACACCTATCTGGACTCAAACCTCGACAGACCTTGAAGAGTATAAACCTATCTGGATATAAAACTATCTATGCCCCGACCTTCCAGAGTGCTAAAAGTGAGCATTCCAGAATTATAAACCGACCTGGACTGCCTCAAGCCTCGACAGGAATTAGGACGTCGATGCCCTGATGCTATGTGTTGGCCCTCCTGGAATGTCAGGGTAGAGGGGGTGGATATATCATGGCGGGGGCCATGATATCTTTCCTCAGATTTCACGGCGCCTCTTCTTGCTCCATTGCGTCCCTGGCCCCCCGCTGGGCCGCGCACATGCCGCCGGTCGTGATTTGCACCCCCCCTCTTGGACACCCCCCTCTTGGCCGCTCCCAAGGACAATAGAAGCCTAGGAAAAGCTACGGAAAAAGGGCCCGGACCGCCTCGGGCCATGAGAGCATCACAACCGCTGTTTTCGGCCTCTGGGGTCCCTCGCCGGGCCTCGGGGCCGTCAGAAAGCGACTCGGGATGGAAGACCGGTCCCAGGGAAGGGGTCCAGACCTCCTGGGCTCGACGTGATGAAAGAGTCTTGCTGACGTCGGGGGTCCGGGAAGAGGGGGGTGGGGACGAAACTAACTGTGTGCAGCTGCGTACAGTCCCGCCGCCAGGCTCTCTTCCCTGGCGCGGGGAGGCGCCCAAAGAATCGGTTGCGCGTCTAATCCGCGAGCGCCTTCCCCTTAGCTATCCGACACGTGCTCCCAGACTCTGGCGCCCCCAAGGTGAAGAAGGGCGACGAGGAGCTGCAGGATCGGAGGCCTAAGTAGAGGCTGGCACCAACACCAATAGTGGCGGCGTGCCCCTACCAAGGGAATATGTTCCCGACCTCGATGATGGTGGTCGGATTCGGGATTGTCTTCCTCCAGTGGAGGCACCCCTCCGTGCTGGTGATGGTGCCCATTTGTCGGTGGCGAAATCCGAACCCTACCCTCGCCGATCCACGATTCTGGCAACCCCATAGGCGGGCGGGGTAGGCTCCGGAATGCGCCGAAGACGTGGCAGAATCCGAACCATACCCCCACCTCTCGTCGATTCAGGAAAATGGATGGTGGGTGGTGGTAGGGTTAGGTCGGGCATGTCCTCCTACAGGCGGATTTGGGAAGAAAAACAAAAGTCAAATTACTCCGACGGTAGAACCCCGCATGAGATTATGTTTAGCTTGCTTGGGGATCTTCTCCTGTCCCCTCGCTTCTCCCACCTACTCCTGCCTCCTCCTGTTCCTCCTGCCTCCTCCTCCTCCTGCCTCAACCCCCTGCCTGCTCATCTTGCCTCCTCCACCTCATCCTCCTCCTTTTCCTCCTCGTTATGCCTCCTCCCCCCATTCCCCATGCTCCTCCTGCCTCCTGCGTCTTCCTTCTCTTGCTGCTTTCCCTCTCCCTCCTCCTCCTCCTCCTCCTTCTTCTCCTCCTCCTCCTCCTCCTTCTCCTCCTCCTCCTCCTCCTCCTCCTCTTCCTCCTCCTCCTCCGCCTCCCATCTCCATCTTCCTCTTCTCCCTCTCCCTCCTCCGCCTCCTCCTCCTCCTCGTCTCCATCTTCCCCCCCTCCTCCTCCGCCTCCCCCTCCTCCTGCCTCCTCCTTCGGCTTCCTGCCTCCTCCTGGGGACTCTTGGGGCCTCTTGGGGCCTCCTGGAGCCTTCTGGGCCTCCCGGAACATCCTGGGGCATCCTAGGGCACTCCTCTTCCTCCATGTCTCCCTCGTCCATCTCGCCCTCTGCTTCCTCCTCCTCCTCCTCCTCCTCGTCTTCCTCCTCCTCCTGCTTCTCTTTCTCGTCCTGCATCCTCCTTCCTCCTCCTCCTTCCGCCTCCTTCTCCTCCTCCTCCTTTTCCTCCTCCTCCTCGTGCGGAACACGACCCAGAAGAAGCGCACGACGTGCGTCCCGGCGGATACGCACCGAAGGACGACCCAAATGAAGTGCGCGCCGGAGGACGACCCAGAGGAAGCACGAGAAGTGTTGGCCCCATAGGGAGGGGGCTCCCGCCTGAGCCTTCCTCACAGTTCACTCACAGACAGGTTCCCGCCTGAGACTTCCCTCATTCTTAGGCCGCAGGAGCCCAAAAGTGAGGACAATTACAGGTTCGAGGATGACCAGCTCGGATTAAACACATGAAGTGCGAGCCCCATAGGAAAGGGGCTCCCGCCTGAGACATCCTCACAGTTCACTCACAGAAGAAGCCCCCGCCTTATATGTTCCCCATGTTCAGGCATCAGGAGCCCAAAAGTGACGACAGTTACATGTTCGAGGATGACCCGCTCGGATTACCAAGTAAAAAGCGGGCCTCTTGGGGGGGGGGGCTCCCGCCTGAGACTTCCCCCGCATTCAGGCCTCAGGAACCCAAAAGTGACGAAAGTTATAGGTTCGAGGACGACCCGGTCGGATTATCAACGGGCCCCGTAAGGAGGGGGCTCCAGCTGTAGACTTCCTCACAGTTCAGTTCACCCGCCTTATATTTCCCCCATATTCAGGCCTCAGGAGCCCAAAAGAGACGACAGTTACAGGTTCGAGGATGACCAGCTCGGATTAAGCACATGAGGTGCGAGCCCCATAGGGAAGGGGCTCCCGCGTGAGACTTCCTCACAGCTCACTCACAGAAGAGGCCCCCGCCTTATATTTTCCCCATGTTCAGGCCTCAGGAACCCAAAAGTGACGACAGTTACAAGTTCGAGGATGACCCGCTCGGATTACCAATTACAATGCGGGCCCCAGAGGGCTCCCGCCTGAGATTTCCCCCGCAGTCAGGCCTCAGGAACCCAAAAGTGACGAAAGTTATAGGTTCGAGGACGACCCGCTCGGATTATCAACGGGCCCCATAAGGAGGGGGCTCCAGCTTTAGACTTCCTCACAGTTCAGTTACAGAAGAGGCACCCGCCTTATATTTCCCCCTTATTCAGGCCTCAGTAGCCCAAAAGTGACGACAGTTACAGGTTCGAGGAGGATTTGCTCGGATTCCAACATGAAGTGCGGGCCCCATGGGGAGGGGGCTCCCGCTTGAGATTTCCCCAATAGTCAGGCCTCAGGAGCCCAAGCGCGATGACAGTTACAGTTTCGAGGATGACCCACTCAGATTACCAACATGAAGTGTGGGCCCCATAGGGAAGGTGTTCCCGCTTTATATGTCCCTCCATGCTCTGGCCTCAGGAGGTCAAAAGTGACGACAATTTCAGGTTTGAGGATGACCCGCTCGGATTACCTATGTGAAGCGGGCCCCATACGGAGGGGGCTCCCGCCTGAGATTTCCTCACAGTTCACTCACAGACGAGGCTCCCGCCTGATACTCTCCCCATACTCAGGCCTCAGGAGCCCAAAAGTGGCGACAGTTACAAATTCGAGGGTGACCCGCTCCGATTGCCAACATGAAGTGCGGGCCCCATAGGGAGGGGGGCTCCCGCTTGAGACTTCCTCACTATTCACGCACAGACAGCGCTCCCGCCGAATGATGATGAGTGATGAGAGAGATAGAGAGAGAAAGAGACTGTGTGCGATGTGCGACTGAGTGTGATGATGGTGGCGGTGGTGGTGATGTTGATGCTGATGCTGATGCTGATGTTGATGATGATGATAATGATGATGATGATGATGATGATGATGATGATGATGATGATGATGATGATGATGATGATGATGATGATGATGATGATGATGATTGATGGCCGATGGTGGTGGTGATCGATGGTGCGTCACTGAGTATGGTGGTGGTGGTGATGATGACCGATGGTGATGATGACCGATGACGGGGTGAATGCGTGAGCGAGGCGGAGACTGGGAGGGAGGTGAGGCTCCTGCGCGGAAGGTGCCCAGAGAAGACAAGAGCCCCACCTCGGATGTGGGGGGAAACATGGCCCAACATAGTCAACAAAAAAACGCGACACATCTTCACCCGACTATGCTTGACCATTATTGCGTGCCCCTCCTGTGGGGAGACATGCTCGACTTCATGGTGGGCTTTGGGTGTCGCCACCCCGTGCGAAAAAAACGCCTCCCTAAGCAGGAGGCGCACCGGGCGGCCGCAGCGGTCCGCCCGCACGCGGGCGCCGGGTCCGCGGGGGGCGCGCTCTCGGCGGAGGCGCGGACGCGCGAGCAGATGGACGACGCGCGGAGGGCGCGGCCGTCGGTCTCGTTGAACCGATGCCCATCCCCATCCCCAGCCCCTTCGAGACCCCCGCCGAAGTGCCATCCCAGCGGGGGACGCACCCCTCGAAGCCCGAAGGGGAGCGACCTGTGTCCCCATCCAGGGGCGGGAAGTCGGCCAGGGGGGCCCCGGCCACGCCGCTGGGGACGGGGAGCGGATCAACGGTACTCAGGCTGCAGCGCCTGGAGGCGCAGCAGGAGGCCAAGAAGAAGGAGCTGGAGGACCAGGCGCGCAGCGTCAGGGGGGGAGATCGAAGAACAACTTTTGCCGGTCCGCGCGGATGTCTCGGATCCGTGCTGGGCCCCCCCGGCGGCGCCTCCGGCGCCGCCCTTGGCGCGCTCCGCGCGCCAGGGAGGGGGGTCCAGCGCTGATCCAAGAAATCCGCGCGGACCGTCGCACGTTCATGTTTGTGTCGTTTTATTATTCTTCTAGGATAGAACCATCACACGGCTTTTTAACAATAACTACCGATTGTCATACATGGAAAACGCTGCTGATGTTTCACAAAGCTGAGATGTCACATCACACGGTGTGTGTGACTACTGGCCGTGCTTGTGCAAAAGAGCATGTGATGTTTCATCTGAGTTGGAGGACCAAGCTCAAGGGCAATGCTAGGGGGGATGGGCTCGGGGGGGAGATGCCATCGACCCCCAGTTCGAAGAATAGACAAAACGGCATGAACAGAAATTTTCGGAGCTCCGCCCAGATTTTTCGGGTCTGCGCGGAACCATCAGGCGGCGCCTCCAGCGCCGACCTCCGAAAGTTTATAGTTCTACCATTACTTATCCCTCGAGGGACGCGTCGATCCCCGTAGCCCTTGCCTCGGGGCCCGATGGCCCACCCCACCCAGGAGCGTGTGGATTTGCTGTGGGGGGCCTCTCGCCGATCCATCGTCGACGCATCGCCGGCTCCAGGTCGATGGTGCCCCCCCTGGAGCCGGTCCCCCCCTTGTCGGTGCCCGCCACAGGCGGCCAAGAACCGGGCCAGGGAGGCGATGTTCCAGACCCCCCTCGTGGGCGCCGCGAAGCCGCTGGGGAAGCTCTGAGCTCCTCCGCGGCGATGCGCTCGCGCGATCCGTTCACACCCGCCACCCCCTCGCGCTGTGGAAGAGTCACGACGGCGAGTTTTCGGGGCACTTCTCGACCGATGGGCTTCCTCGCCGGGCCCGGGGGCCGTCAAACAGTCACTCGGGGCGAACAGAGGACGCCTGGACCGAGTCGGAGTAGAGGGTCCGAGGAACGCGCCGCATCGCCAATGCATGGCCAGCGTCGGCGATGCACCGACGACGCCGGCGTGGAGAAAAGGAGGCCCCGCATCGAGCCGCATCGCCGATGCATCGGCGATGCGGCGCGATCCTCCGACCCCGTCTGCTCGGACCCCATCTGGGAGGCCTGCAATGCAAAGGCGGTCCCAGGGAAAAGGTCCAACCTCAGGATCGGGAGCCTTGAGACGGGGGTCAACGCAAACGGGGGTCAGCCAGAGCGCTGGGCCCTGTAGGATCCTGCGGAGCTAGGGGCGCACTGACCCAGGCTTTCCTGCAGGATCCTGCGGGATGTTGCAGGATCCTGCAAAGCCCCGGCTGACCAGGGTCTGGATTGACCCGTGCCAGCAGATCCCCGACAAGAGACCGAGGATCCAACCTTAACTCGGAAGCCAGGCAAGGGCTGCTAATTCCGCGGCTGTTAAAATCGACCTCCGGGAAGTTGTCTTCGTCCTTCCGGGAAGAAGCCCGTTGACTGTGTCGCGCGCCGCGCCTCATTCCGGGAAGTTGATTTCTCCTTCCGGGAGGGCCGTCTTAGCAGCCACGGTTTTAGCAGCCCTCGCCCAGCTTCCGATTATATAACCGTCCTGAGGCGGTCCTGACAGGGAGACTCCTCGAGGCCCTACGGACGGGGCCCACAGCAATCTCAGGCAGGGGGCTCCCCCGGGGGTCGGCGCGGGAGCACGAAGTTGTTCGCGCCTCGCGCAGCGCGAGGGCGCGAAGTTGGGCGCCCTCGCTTCTTCGCGTCGCTTGGCAACTCTGGAGCCTTGCACTCGGCATCGCTCGGACGTGTACACGCTTTCTCAGCAAGGAGACCATCGAGGAGCGTGTTGGTTTGCCTCACGAGAAAACACACACACACACACTCACTCTCTCTCTCACACACACACGCCTGAAGCCAAACAATGGGGAGGAAGTGGACGTCCGAGCGATGGCGAGCGCAGCCGTGCAATGCCCAAGCGTACTGCCAGTCGGAGTTCTGGGGCGGAGGCCTGCAAGGCGCGCCGAACGGGGGAGCAGAGGCGGCATGCGCCGCGACGGGTGCAGCCGCTATATAAAGGGGGGGGCCAGGGAGCCTCTTGGGAGGTTTCCGCCCCGGAGCAGCCACGGCCCGTGCACCGCCAGCTGGACCGAGGTACAGGCTCGAGGTCGGCTCGGGGAGGGTACCCGCTCCAGTGCTCTTCGTGCCTGTTGGATGCCCCTGTGCATCCTGGGAAGGTCGGGGGCGAAAAAGAGGGGGGTAATGACTAGGGGGGGTGGATATCATGGCGTGGGCCATGATATTTCCCCAGATTTCATGGCGCCTCTTCTTGTTTCATGACGTCCCTGGCCCCCCCGCTGGGCCGCGCACATGCCGCTGGTCATGATTTGCACCCCCCCCCTCATGGACACCCCCCTCTTGGCCGCTCCCGAGAAGGGTGCCCTTGGGTGTTCTGTCGGTGAGGGCCGACGAAGGGTCGCATGCTCTTGAAGGATGCTCTTCTGGCCTAGGCCCGCCCGCACGAGGCCACGGTGCCTCCCCACCCCACCCAGCGAGAAAAAGTCGCTCCCTGACAGAAGGTCGGCGGCCAGCGAGGGGGGAAAAGTGAGAAGGGTTCGGAAGTCCCCGGGCCTTCTGAAAAGTTTTCTAAGCCTTCCCCGAAGACGAGGCAAACACTCCTCAAAACGGCGCGAGGGTTTCTGCGAAGTCCCGCCGCCTTCCGAGGAGGCCTCCTCCTTCTCACTTTCCCCCCTCGCTCGCCGCCGAACTTAGTTTTTGGGTCATACCTCGGGTCTCCCGCGGGCGTTCGGGACGACCCGGGCACCCCCAGAACGCCCTCGGCGAGGCGCAGCCGCTGGAACGCATCCCGAGGGCGGAGAGCCGCCAAGAGACTTCGACGACGCCTGAGAACCTGGAACCTCGCTCGCCGCCTATGCAGAAGGGCTCCTTCCCCCAGTGGGGAGGTCCTCTCTTTCCCCGGTGGCCACTGCTCCGAAGAACGGGGAGCGGGCCCAATCTGCCTGGGAGAACGAGCCTCTCGCCCCGGGTTTCTGCACGAACGAAATGGGCACGGAAAGAATCGGTACAATGCCCAACAGCAGTTCCTGCTCATTTTGAACAGGACTCGCTGTCCGCGCCGCCGCGGCCTGTGTCCATTCGAGACAGAAGGCCGCCTGCCCAACAGCGGCCGCTGTTGCTTTGGGACAACATTTGCTGTTGGGCATTGTACCCTTTCTTTCCGTACCCGATTCCAGGGGAACAAAAAGTGACATAAACATAAAAACTCGGAGGTCCGCGCGGATTTCTCGGATCGGCGCTGGGGCACCCCGGCGGCGCCTCCGGCGCCGCCCCTGGCGCGCTCCGCGCGCCAGGGAGGGGGCCCCAGCGCCGATCCGAGAAATCCTTGCGGACCTCCGAGTTTTTATGTTTGTGTCACTCTCTGTTCCCCTAATTTCGGGCGTCCAAAGGACCCGCCCCCCCCCCCCCCCGGGCCCGCCCTTCCCCCCCCCCCCCCCCTCTGACACGCCGTGCCTCTCTGGTCGTGCGCCGTATGGGCCCCAAGGCCTCGCCACCCGCTCCTCCGGGGGGCCGGCGGCCCAGGCCCCCCGCGCACGTCGAGTGTAATGAGAATTGGCCGTTGTCGGTTCGCGAGAGGGCGTCGCGGCCGTCACCCAGGAGGGGAAAAACCACACAGACACAATCAATCGTCGATTCCCCCAAATAATCGGAAAATGTAAAAGGGAAGCAGGGGGGGGAAATAATCGGAAAATATGAAGGAAAATTCATTGTCGATTCCCCACAATAATCGTAATACAGGAAGGGAAAAACAAACAGATACATACACAATTAATCGGAAAATGTGGGGAGTGGGGGTGAAGACAAAAATCCAGAATCTATGGACAAAGATTCCCCAATCAGAGCTTGCCTCTGTAGGGGTCCTAGCGGATATTCCCCAATCAGAGCTTGCCTCTGTAGGGGTCCTAGCGGATATAAAGCTGAGGTGAGGTGAGCGGCCGATTTCGGTGGCCGGGGCCGGGTGCCTGGGTGCCCGGGGGTTCCCGGGGGTGCCCGGGTGCCCAGGTGTGTGGCCGATTTCGGTGGCCGGGGACGGATGCCGGGGTGCCCGGGGGTGCCCGGGGGTGCCCGGGTGCCCAGGGGTGCCCGGGTGCCCGGGGTGCCCAGAAGTGCCCGGGGGTGCCTAGCCCAATAGCCCTATATCCCTATAGCCCAATAGCCCAATCGCCATATATCCCTCCTATAGCACTATAACCCTATAGCCCTATAGCCGTACCTATACGACCACCCTTCGGGTGAGAAGGAGGTTCGGGGGGGGGAACCAACGTCTCACTCGATCGGTCTCACTATCGATCTCAGTATCGATCTCACTAACGGTCTCGCTCGGTCGATCTCACTCGATCGATCTCACAATCGATCTCACTCGATCTATCTCATCCGATCGATTTCACAATTGATCTCACAATCGATCTCACAATCGATCACACAATCGATTTCACATTCGGTCTCAATATCGATCTCACGATCGATATCACAATCGCTCTCACAATCAACGTCATCATCATCATCAACACATCAACATCAACATCATCACCAACATCGTCCTCATCATGAAGGCACCGTCATCATCATCATCGTAAACATCAACATCAACGTCAGCATCATCATCATCATCAACACATCAACATCAACATCATCACCACACATCGTCCTCATCATGAAGGCACCGTCATCATCATCATCGTAAACATCAACATCAACGTCAGCATCATCATCGGGACAACATCATCATCACCATCATCATCTCATCATCAACATCATCATCATCATCGGGACACAGTCATCGTCATCATCATCAGCAGCATCATCAGAATCATCATCATAACCGGGACACAATCATGATCACCATCGTTCTCATCATCAACAGTATCATCAACATCGTCATCACCCTCGGGACACCATCATCATCATGATCATCGCATCATCATCATCGACTTAATCAGCATCAACAGCATCATCATTGGGGCACCATCATCATCATGAGCAACATCATCATCAACATCGTGATTATCATTATTATCACCATCGGGACACCATCATCATCACCATCATCATCACCATCATCATCATCATCAGCATCATCATCGGGACACCATAATCATCATCAACATCATCATCATCATCATCATTATCGTCGGGACACCATTTCCATCAATATCATCATCACCAACATCATCGGAATCATCATCATCATCATCATCGGGACACCATCATCGTCATCATCGTCAACATAATCGTCATGAGCATCATCATCCTCATCATCTGGACACTATCATCATCATCGACACCATCATCAGCATCATCATCATCTTCATCGGGACACCATCATCATCATCATCATCATCTCATCATCATCATCATCATCATCATCATCATCATCTCATCATCATCATCCTCGCGGGACACCGCGGGACACCGGCGGGACACCGCGGGACACCGCGGGACACCGCGGGACACCGCGGGATACCGCGGGACACCGGCGGGACACCGCGGGGCCCCGCGCCCCGGATGAGAAACATTTGGTCCGGCCGCGCCTCAGCCACAGGAGGACACCGCGGGACACCGGCGGGACACCGCGGGGCCCCGCGCCCCGGAAGAGAAACATTTGGTCCGGTCGCGCCTCAGCCACAGGAGATTTTTTCTCGCCCGCCCACGCAGCTTCGCCTCGCACGCACGGCACGCACGAACACGAAACCGAAACCGATGTCCCGGTGGGGG